TAGATACTTTATTCTCCTGAGCATCAAGAGCTACCTCTTAGGAGTACAGTCCCTAAGTCTTTTGAAGATAGCCATTTCTTCATATTTGATCTTTGAAAGGAGCTAGTCTGCTGTAAAAAGATTATCAGGTGCTACAACCCTCAAGTATGAAATAAAATTTCACTTTTCTAAAATGATACAAAACTTACAATGTGCTCAAATATGCTCAAATAAAAATAGCTTCATCCTAAAATTTTCTGATTTTCGTTCACATATTTTTGGTGATCTTTCTTTGCTGGTGTCTTAGACACATGTTTAGTCTGACTATTAATCAGTGCTGGTCTCAATACCCCAATCCAAGTGGGAGCTGAGAAGTTTACTTCTTTAAAAAATTTTTATTTTTTTTAAAATTGATTTTTAGAGAGAGGAAGGGAGAGGCATAGAGAGCTGGAAACATCCATGGGAGAGAAACATCCATTGGCTGCCCCCTGCACGCCCCCTACTGGGGATGGAGCAGCAACCGGGCATGCGCCTGGATCAGGAATGGAGCCGTGACCTCCTGGTGCCTAGGTCCAGCTCAACCACTGAGCCACGCTGGTCCCCCAGGCTTTTACTTTTTATGTGGGACAAAGGGTGGGACAGGACCACCAGCAAACAGCAACTGAGTTCTCTATATCCCCATTTCTGCCTTTTTCTCCCCCCCATCTTGTCACTCTATTACCAGAGTATCCAATGCTTTGAACCCCTAAAATGTCAGATTTATACCCCCACAATCATTAACTGGAGGAGAGAAGCCTANATTGTCCCTCTAATACCAGAGTATCCAATGCTTTGAACCCCTAAAATGTCAGATTTATACCCCCACAATCATTAACTGGAGGAGAGAAGCCTAAGCAATGTTTTCAGGTAGTGTGAAGTTTTGAAATCTCTGGCTTTCCCCCGAGGAAGGTCCCAGGAATTGCATAGATATTCAATGCCAAATTATACAAGAGTTATTCCAGATTATAGCCCTTGGATTCATACCTTATGAAACAAACTATAATTGTAATAAAATATGTTATAAAGATTTTTATACTGGACTTGTTCTGTTTGCCCAGCAGGACCCATTTCCTACCCTTTACTGCCATGTGCCCTGGAAGACTGGACCCAGAAGGATTGCAAAAACTTGGTTCCTTCACCTTCAGGGTGCCTCCAGTTGGGTTCAGCCAGCAGGAGGTATCAGTAGGACATCCCTTTCAGTTTCCCTTACCACTGCCCAAACTTCTAAGAAAGTTCAATGAAGGGGTAATTTACAATCATCCCTTCAAGTCTCCCATGTATGTCCTGACAAGACCCTGACCCATATAGATATCAAGCAGACCTTTTTATCTTAATTATGGAAAATATCGTTAAAGTGAGGGGTGGCTTGTTTGTTTTCCAGGCCTTTTGCTTTTCTTTCCTTTTTGCTACCTGGCTCTGGGCTTCTTCATGACATGGCCACAAGGGGGTGAACAAGGATAAGAGCAGAGACAACACTCAAAAAACTACACAAGGCATTTTTATAAATGCTGGATTATACCAACAGAGGTTCACTCCAGGGGAAATATATATTTATTTTGTTTTTCATGATTTTTCAGATTTTTGCACTGTTTTTATAAATATGTTATAAAAATATAAAGCTATTTTTAAAAATAAAGGGAGAAACTAAAATTGATTTTAAAATATAATAGAATTTACTTTGAACTCTTAAAATTTAAATCAGCCAAAAAAATAATTGCCATCCTTATTTAGAGTTTTCCTGATAAGACTAAAGTGGTTTTGGTCTTTTCTCTCCGTCTCAGTATTCTGCCTGTCGGCATCTCTCAGTGTCATGTGCTTTTCAAGCTGCTTCTTACATTGGCTGTCACAGAAGAGATAGTCATTCATAAGGTGTGACTTCAAAGTAATGAGGATCATACCCTTAGCTCCTTCTCTTATATTAAATCAATGAGTTTGTTTTTTAAATACAGTACAGGCATACTTTGGAGATATTACATGTTGAGTTTCAGATCACCAAAATAAAGCTAGTATCACAATAAAGTGAGTCCTAATCTTTATAAAAAATGCAACACCTATGAAGCGCGATGAAATGAGGCGTGCCTGCAACACCAGCACAGTGCGCGGGAGACCTCAGCAGTGCTAATCCCCAAACGCCCTGCTTTTTACTTGTGATTTTTGCCCTTTGAGTTTTCGAACCTCATTTATTTCAAATAGGTTAGCTAATCTTTTTCACTCGAGCAAACTGGAGCCAATTCCCTTCATATTGAAAACTGCCTTTCGCCCACCAGGATCCCTGGTTTGGCTTTCTGAAGTTCCCTATGGAAGTCTCCTGAACTGGATGTGTCAGCCACCCCTCTTAAAGGGAGTACAAGAGGCATCTAATTTGCCTTCACATCCTGCAAAAATAAATTACAATGGAAAGATTTCACTTTCTTCAGCTTACTCTAAGTTCTTATCCCTTCCACCAAATTCTGTGAAAAACCTGAGTAAAATAAATTTGGGAAGTGTGAAGATATGCTAAATGGCTTACAAACATGAGGAGAAAACAATCATCTTTAATAAGAGGCAAAATTCTAAACATCTCAGGATATTATAGCAAAAGTGCTTTGTAAACAGTAAAATCTAAGTATTGTTAGTTACTGGATTTGAACAATAAAGAGCAAGAAGCCAACGTGTAGAATGAAGAAGTTATGTAACACTAACTACCCCGTGCTTTTGGGCTCTTCGGGCCTAGTGGGTTCAGCTTGTCCCTGGCCTGTGACGACAGTACAGGAATGTGCAATTGCACCACAGGCTCCGAGGCTACAGGACTGGCTCTAAGACCCGTCACAGGATCTGAGAAGCGCAGCAGTAGTTGAACTTCAGCTTCACGAAGGCATCCCTCAGCCCTGCCTGCGCCATTCCTGTGTCGATTGCCTCACGTGCCAGCCTTGAAAAAGCATTAGCTCTCTTTACATCAGTGCAGAAGTCGTCTAAAAGCAGGATCTTCTGCATGCTTTGATCTGAGTCTTACTGCCCTTTTATAAAAATTGTGGTAAGATACACATAAAATTTACCCTCTTAACCATTTTAAGGTGTACAGTTAAGTAGTGTTAAGTATATTCACATGGTTGCGCAACCAATCTCCAGAACTTTTTCATTTTGCAAAACTGAAACTCTATACCCATTAACAACTCTCCGTGTTCCCCTGCCCCCAACCCCTAAGAACCTCCATTCCTACCTTCAGTTTCTATGAATTTGACAACTCTAGATAGCTCATAAAGATGGAATCATATAGTATTTGTCTTTTTTAACTGGCTTATTTCATTTAGTACAATGTCCTCAAAGTTCATCCCTGTTGTAGTAGCATGTGTCACAATTTTCTTCCTTTTCAAGACTGAATGATATTCCACTGTATGTCCAGAGTGTCTCCCAAAAAATGTATACACACTTTGAATGATTATAAAGTCAGTGTTTATTAACATACAGTTCATTTTCACAATTAAGTGAGTTATCAGCTGTTAAAGTGTGTATACATTTTTTGGGACACCCTATATATACTTTTTAATTTTTTTATCCATTCATCAGTTGGTAAACATTTGGGTTGCTTCCATCTTTTGGCTGTGAATAGTGCTGCTGTGAACATGGGTGTACAAATGTCTGTTGGAATCTCTGCTTTCACTTCTTTTGAGTATATGCCCAGAAGTGGGACACCTGGATCATATGGTAATTCTGTGTTTAATTCTCTGAGCAATCAGCATACTGTTTTTCCACAGCAGCGTGCCATTTTTTAAACGGATCTTTATT